ATTCTACCTTTTGAATCATTACTAAGAATCAACAAAATCTCTTCATACTGCCAGTATCTTTCAATACTTCCATATTTTTGTACCTACTTCTTGAAAATCTTGAATTCTGAAAAAATAAGTAAAAAAAAGTAAATTGCTGATCCCAATATTTCTTTGTTCTTAAAAAGTTTAATTGTAATTAAATATACATAACAAAATTTATATGACAGCCAATTTTAGTGTGTAGTTCAGTAGTGTTACATATATTCATGCTGTTGTACAACCCTTCTCCAAGAATTTTTCATCCTGTAAAACTGAAACTCTGTATCTAAAACAATAATTTTCCTACCCACCTCGCCCCAGTCATTGGTAACCACCATTCTTTTTTTTTGAGTTGGAGTCTCACTCTGTTGCCCAGGCTGGAGTACAGTGGCAAACTCATGGTTACAGCAGCCTCGACCTGCTGGGCTCAAGTGATTCTTCTGCCTCAGCCTTCTAAGTAGCTGGAACTACAGGTGCGTGCTACCATGCCTGGCTAACTTTTTAAAATTTTTATAAATCTATTGTAGAGATGAGGTCTCGCCAAGTTGCCTAGGCTGGTCTCAAACCCCTGAGCTCAGGCAATCCTCTTGCCTAGGCCTCCCAAAGTGCTAGGTTTACAGGCTTGAGTCACCGCGCCCGGCCTCACCATTCTAAGAATTCGACTGCTTTAGACATGTCATAAGTAGACACACTTGACTTTTTGTAACTAGCATATTTCTCTAAGCATAATGTCCTCACGGTTCAACTGTGTTGTGACAGAATTGTCTTCCTTTTTAAGGCTGAATGATATTCCATTGTATGTGTGTACCACATTGTGTTTATCCACTCATCTATTCAGGTACTTCTGTTACTTCCACCTTTTGGCTATTGTGAATCTATGAGAACACAAATAAAGACCCAGCCTTCCTTCTTTCGGTTGCATACTCAGAACCAGAACTGTGGTATCATGGTAGTTCTACCTCAGTTGTTTTGAGGAACCTCCATATGGTTTTCCAGAGGTTGTACCATTTTACAACCCGGCCAACAGGGCAAAAGGGTTCCCTTTCTTCACATCACCACCAAAGTTTGTCATTGTTTTTTTGATGGCAGCTGTCCTAGTGGCTGTGAGGTGATATCTCATTGTGATTTTGATTTCATTTCTCCAATGATCAGTGATGTGAGCATCTTTTCTTGCGGTACTGGACAATTTTATATCTTCCACAGGGAAATGTCTATTCAAGTCCTTTGCCCATTTTAAAGTTTTTTGTTGTTGTTGTTGAATTGTAGTAGCTTCATATATTCTGACTATTAACTCCTTATTAGATATGTGATTTGCAAGTATTTTCCTCCCTTCCTAGGCCACCTTTCCAGATTGTTGTGTCCTTTGATGAACAGATGTTTATAAAAGTTTGATGTAGGCCAGGCTCAGTGGCTCAGCCTGTAATCCTAGCACTTTTTTTTTTTGAGTTGGAGTCTCACTGTTGCCCAGACTGGAGTGCAGTGGCTGCTCCC